TGGTGCTAGTATTGTTGACTGTATAAATGCTGGATTGTGTTAAGGCTTTTGGCAAATGAATCAGAAGCGATGTAGTTTTTGCTATAGAATTCTAAATTGTCAACAACGTAGTTTTTGCTGCCACTTTCCTGAATTGGCAGTGATGTAGTTTTTGCTACCGATTTCAGAATCGTCCAGTTTTCGCTGCAAATTTCTGAATCGGCAATGATGCTGTTTTCGCTTCTAATTTCCTGAATTAGCAGCAATGCGGTTTTGCTGCCAATTTCCTAAATCAGCAACAACGTCATTTCGCTACTGATTTCTGAATCGACAGCGATGCAATTTTCGCTGTTAATTTTTTTGAATCAACAGGGACATATTTTTTTTTAAATTGTCTTAAGGAGCTAGGAGGGAGGGGTAAAACCCATTTTAGATAGACCAAAACAAGGATAAAAACACATCTAAACCAACCCCAAACACCCCACCTCATTTAATGGGGAGTATAAATATAAGGAGGAGAGAGAAGGTGACCCTTGCTCTTCCTAAAGTTATCTGTTACAACTGTATGTCCAGCTACATGTTGCTTTTCCCTTTCTCCATCCTAACAGAAACCTAAACTAAACCAGTAAAGAGTGCCTTGTGAATGTGAGGGAGAGATGAGACCTGGAGAGAAGATTGGACAACTGCTTAGAGGGAAAGGAAAAGGGGGCAGAAAATATGGGAGGAAGAAGAAGAAGGAGAACCAGCGGGAGAGGAGGAAGAATACTATCAAACCTTCCTTAAACTTAGTTAGATTCGAAAGGTATTTGTCATGAAACTCCCTTCCTCTTCTCTTTAAGACCCAGAACTAGAAATGAAAAAGAAGACCCTAAGAAAATTGACCTAATACCTAAGTTAGCTGTAATGGAAATTGAAATTAACTAAGAGGACAAGGAAATAGAAACGAAATGAGGCCAATTTTAGAACATCTAACAAAGACAAATGAATAAAACAAAAATAACAAATCTTGGTAGAGGGCTAACTTTAACTATAGGGTTGGCCAACATGAATGTGTGTGTTCTATTGGGAGTTGTTGAAGGATTATATGCTAAAATTGATGGTTTTAATATGTGTGTTCTACTGGAGTTTATTGAAAGATTATATGTTGTAATTGATGGCTTTCAATGTGTGTGTTTTGCAAGGATTTGTTGAAGAATTATGTGCTGAAATTGATGGTTTCAATGTGTATGTTCTTCTGGAATTTATTAAAAGATTATATGCTATAATTGATGGTTTTCAATGTGTGTGTTCTACTGGGATTTGTTAAAGGATTATGTGCTAAAATTGATGGTTTCAATATGAGTGATCTGTTGGAACTTAATGATAGCTTACATACTGGGATTGTTACAGTATGTGTGGTGTGTGTTCATGCCAAAATGGTGTGTTCTGCAAGAAAATTGTGATTCGCTGCCGAAACTGAGTTATCTGAGGTGAAATTATGATTCGCTATCAAAACTATGTCAGCTGTAGTGAATTAGTATTTTCTGCCGAATTTGTGATTTGCTACCAAAACTGAGTCTTCTGTAGTGAATTAGCATTCGCTGCCGAATTGTATGTTCTGTAGCGAGATTATGATTTATTGCCGAAATTGTATCAGCTACAGCGAATTAGCATTCACTGCTGAAACTGAGTTGTTTGCAATGAATTTATGATTCACTGCCGAAACTGTGTCGGTTGCAGTGAATTAGCATTCACTATTGAAAATAAGTTGTCTGCAGTGAATTTGTGATTCACTGCAGAAATTTAGTCTTTTGGAGCGAATTAACATTCACCGCTGAATTGTGTGTTTTGTAGTGAAATTGTGAGTCACTGTTAAAACTAGTTTGGCTGTAGCAAATTAGCATTTGCTACTAAAACTGAGTCTTCTGCAGCGAATTAGCATTCACTACCGAATTGTGTGTTCTGCAGCGAGATTGTGATTCATTGCCAAAATTGTGTCGGCTGCAATGAATTAGCATTCGCTGTCAAAACTGAGTTGTATATAGTAAATTTGTGATTCGCTGTTGAAACTAAGTCTTCTTCAGCGAATTAGCATTCACTACCGAGTTGTGTGTTCTGCAGCAAAATTGTGATTCGCTACTGAAACTATATCGGCTATAGCAAATTAACATTCGCTGCCAAAACTGAGTTGTCTGTAGTGAATTTACTTTTAAATGAAATGTTGATTGTTGTTGATGGATGAATTGTATCTTGATGATGTGAGGAAACAAGTTTGCCAATTACTGACACGATGTGTGTCAAGTATATATATATATATAATTACTATTGTTTGGGGCTTGAAAAGCTATAACTTAGTTGTCTATAGTGAATTTGTTATTCGTTGTCGAAACTGATCATGATGTATTTTGTATGAATCAATGTACCGAATATATAACTTCTATTAGATCCTTTTGTTTAAATTCATGACGACTATTAGTAGGATATGAATGCAAACTCATATCTATGTATGCATATTTTTAATGTGAACTTCTAATCATAAAAACATAATATTATGTGTTTATGTAAGATTTACTTTTAAATGAAATATTGATTATTGTTGATGTATGGATTGCATTTTGATGATGTGAGGAAACAGATTCACCAATTACCGGCATGATGTGTGTTAAGTATATAAAAAAAATTACTGTTGTTTGGGGCTTGAAAAGCCGGGCTGTTACAGTTGGTGTCAGAGCACTTGGTTTGGATCCTGAGGGTCACTGATAATTATATTGTTGTGGTGAATTTCAGGATGGTATGTACCTGATAAGGGATACAAACTGAGTCGCCCTCCATAAAAAGGAGGGGTCAGAACCAAGGTGCCCAAGGTTGGCAAGATGAAGATCCCTTGGATGATGCGACATCTAATGCTATAATAATACCACTCGAAACCTTGTAGGGGGAAGCCGAGGTAGCAGGGGAAGGTTAGAGGCCTAACTTGACAGAAGAAGTACCTCCAGTTGTAGCAGAGCAACAAGAAAGATCAGAAGCATAATCGTCAACTATTCCAACTGGTGTGCCCCCATAATATGTAGATGCGGGACTCCTTGTACAAATAGTTAAAGCAATGATGGTAGGCATGGCTGGTTAGGTGACAAAAACAACTCCCACCACACAAATTCCATAGGCAGCCCTTATGACTAGCACAACCACGGATAATATAGTGCGACTAGTCAAGAGTATAAGGAAAATGGTCTGTGAACCGTATATGGGAGAATAAGATACAGAGATAGTTGGGAGATGGATTGGGAAGGTAGAAAAGACCATGATTCAAATAAGCATACTGACACGACTAAAAAATTGTTGTCTTCTTCCAAGTGTAGGAGTGTCGAAGTAATAAATAACCCGGCAAGACCGGGGTCGAACCATAGGGAGGTTAACTGTAATAATACAACAACAATAAAAATAACAATAACAACAACAACAATAATAATAGTAATAACAACAACAACAACAACAATAATAATAATAATAATAGTACTAATAGTAGTAGTAGTAGTAATACTAATAATAATAATAATAATAATAAAGAAGAAGAAGAAGAAGATGAGAACTTTGAGATGGAATATTAACGTAAAGATTTAACAACGATAACAATAAATGTCAAGGTTAGAGGTTCCACTAACGGTATGTCAAACAAGTATAGTATAAAATCTTATTATTCAATTAGAAACCACACGCAAAGGAGGTTCCAATCAGATTATAGATTGATAACATGATTACATTAGTCATCTTATTCGATTAATGCTAGTACTTGTAAATCTCGTCAAGCATTCATGATTATAACTTATGTTAACAACAAATCAAGTTCCTTTCATAGCTCAGGTGTCGGTTATACCATACAGTATGAACTATGAAAGTGCCAAGCATTTGTTGTTCCAAGTGTTGTACAACATAAATCAAGATTAGTCATTTAACAAGCAAAGTATTAAAGAGTGAACAAGATAACAAATACAAAACATGTTAGTATCAAACATTAAAGTCCATATTAAGTTTACACTATAATTATTCTTACACCATTAGTGTAACCTTTTCACCTTGACATAATAGACTTAGCTAGACATAATGAAAGAATGAAAAATAAATAAACAAAATAAGAACATAAATAAGATAAGAGTTAACAAAGCAAAGGAAAGGAATTGAAAGGCATAAACTTGATATTAAGGAAAGCAAAGCATATACATTACAAAAAATACAAAGAGAGAAAGCAAGAGCATGATCTTGATCTGGAAACTAAGATCCCTAAATGCATGGCAAATGCCTCCTTTTATAGGCCAAAATTAGGAACTATTGATTTGATGACTAATTGATGAGTGGGTGACCAACTCTTGACTTGGTGACAATCCTTATCATCTTTTGTCTGCCCAAAATGTCATTGATAACGTCGAAATTGGAGCTACTTGAAAACATTAAAGTTGTAGGCAATTGTCTTAGCTTTCTTGTGTAAACAATTCAGCTCATTTCGACATCTAGAACTCCAGATATGGCGAAAATACTAAACAGTGCTCGGGCTAGAGGACATATTAAGGCTTCTTTGTTGTTGCTACAATTTGGACTTGAAAATGGCCTTTTTAGATCTTGGGCTCCATATGAAAGTTGTAGGCATATGTCTTACCTTTCCATCCATATAAATTAGACCTAAATCTGAGATCTATAGCTCCAGATATGACCCAATTATTGAATAGTGTTCCGGTTTGGATTGCACCGACAACTCTTTTCTAAGTTTGGCCATCTCTTTATCCTTTCAATTTCAGTTCTTAAATTCATCACTCAATCCTTTCATTTATGTGATAGGCATGCATTTAAAATCAACATTTACCATAAATTAAAGGTATCTTATATTGTTAGATATATTATTATAAAACATGCTTTAGTTAAGGAGTTATTGATACTTCAAGTGCAAAATGATGATATAAAACCTTGATAAAAATACACTTTTAAGTACGAATCACATACCCAAGGGTTTGAGGGTAAATTGTGCAACCCAATTACTGTTCGATAAGGCTATGACATGTTGGGAAACAGTTCAGCTAAGGTGTGCAATCAAGACACTAACTTGGAGTGATTTCAAGATAGAGTTTGAGAATCAATTTTATTCCAATTACCATAGCAAGGTGAAAGAAAAAGAGTTTTTAGCATTTAGACAGGGTGATGTGTCGGTATTGGAGTATGAAAGGAGGTTCCATGATCTCCCATTGTTTGCCCCATTCTATGTGCTGACGGAGGAACATATGATTAAGAAGTTGAGAGATGGTTTGCAACAGGATTTGAGACAAGGATTGATCGCCTTAATGTTTAAATCTGTGAGAGAGTTGATTGAGGCTGCCCAAGCTCTAGAGGCTTGTATTGGAGAAAGCCAAGGGGGATATCAAGGTATAGGTAAAAAAGAGATGGGGACTATTTCAGTGGCAACCACCACTCCCGAAGAAAGGAAAAGGTGGGGTGTTTGAGTAGTACAAGAAAAAAAAGAGTTTGATGTTACTGCCCCACCAACAATCAAGTGGGAGAGTGATGGTTGAATAGTCGCACTCAAGGGCAAACTTTTCAATTAGGATCGGTGACCACAAGGGTGTTGACTATCGTTTTTGTATAAAATGTGGACAAAACACCCTAGGGACTGCTCAGTTTCCCCTAGGCGATGCTTTATATGCAGAGGAGAAGGTCATATGTGAAGGAACTGCTAGTATTTGAGTTAAAGGTGTCATTACTATGGTGGAATAGGTCATTACAAGAGGGACTACCCCAAAAGGAACATTGGACTGGTGCAAAGCTATAGGCAGCCTAGTCAGAGCCACCAACAATCAATCACCTTGAATAGACCAATGAGATCTTTTCAATCAGGAGCAAACTCTAGTCAAGCAAAACCGAGGGCACAAAATGATCGGACCCCGAGGAGGGTCTTCCACATGACATAGGAAGAGGTCAGGGATGCATCGGATGTGGTGGTAGGTACACTATTATTGAATGATTTTAATATGGATGTGTTGTTTGATCTGGGTGCCACCCACTCATTCATTGCTAAGAGAATTGTCACTAAACTGAGAAATGGAGTAGAAATAGTAGAGAAAGGGTTCATAATTGGAACTCCAATGGGAAACATGGTTGAAACAAATATTATGTATATAGATATGGGGGTTAGTCTATCTGGGTATGAAACAGAAGTAGACATGATTCCCTTAGAGTTGCGTGATTTTGACATAATCCTAGGCATGAATTGGTTGAGTAAATACAAGGCTCTAATAGATTGTTATACTAAAACTGTTACTTTCCAAACATATAAGGGCAAGAGAATGATTTTTGAAGAGAGAGAATTCTTAAACCGATTGCCTTAATATCGGTGGTGATAACTCAAAAACTTTTAAGAAAGGGATGTAGGGGATACCTCGTATACATCTTAAACTCTGATGATGAATGTCCACGACTGAAGTATATTCCTATAGTGAAGGAATTCCCAGATGTATTTCCTGAAGAACTACCCGGACTACCCCTGGAGCGAGAGGTAGAGGTGAGGTGTCTATAAACACTTTTCCTGGAGTCCCACCTGTAGCCTAATAATCGTACCAGATGGCTTTGGCAGAACTGAATGAGTTAAAGACTCAACTATAGGAATTGTTAGACAAAGGGTTTATACGGCCTAGTGATTCTCTTTGAGGAGCACCGGTCCTATTTGTAAGAAAGAATGATGGGACCCATAGACTTTGTATTGACTATTGATAGTTGAACAAAATCACAATTGAAAACAAGTATTTGTTACCTTAGATAGATGATTTGTTTGATCAATTAAAAGGAGTAAGGGCATTTTCAAAGATAGATCTGAGATCAGGGTGCTATCAGATTAAGATTAAAGAAACGGATGTAGCAAAGACCGCTTTTAGAACTTGTTACGGACACTATGAATTTTTGGTGCTACTATTCAGGTTGACAAACACCCCAGCCCTCTTCATGGACTTGATGAAACGGGCTTTCTATCCATACATTGATAAGTTTATGGTGGTACTCATTGATGATATATTGGTGTACTCAAATTCTTTCAAGGAGCACGAAGAACACTTGAGACAAACCTTACAAACCTTGCGAGATCACTAGTTATATACAAAACTAAGTAAATGTGAATTTTGGCTTAAGAGAGTGACGTTTCTCAGATATGTCATTTCAGCCGAAGGTGTTTTGTAGACCCCCAAAAAGTTAAAGTAGTCTTGAAATGGGAAAGACCGACTTCGGTCAACAAAATACATAGCTTTTTGGGACTTGCAGGATACTATCGGAGATTTATTGAAGGTTTTTCCCTGATTGCAACCCCTTTGACCCAACTAACTAGGAAGAATATGAAATAGGTGTGGTCAGAAGAATGTGAGAAATGCTTCTGACACGACTAAAAGATTGATGTCTTCTCCCAAGTGCAAGAGTGTCGCAGTAATAAATAACCCGGTAAGACCGGGGTCGAACCACAAGGAGGTTAATTGTACAAATTATAAACAACAACAATAGTAATAATAACAATAATTATAAACAACAATAATAACAATAATAATAACAATAATAATAATAATAATAATAATAATAATAAAGAAAAAGAAAGAGAAGAAGAAGAAGATGAGAACTTGGAGATGGAATATTAATGTAAGGATTAAACAATGATAATAACAAATGTCAAGGTTAGAGGTTCCACTAATGATATGTCAAACAAGTATAGTATAAACTCTTATTATTCAATTGGAAACCACACACAAAGGAGGTTCCAATCAGATTATAGATTGTTAACATGATTACATTAGTCATCTTATTCGATTAATGCTAGTACTTGTAAATCTTGTCAAGCATTCATGATTATAACTTATGTTAACAACAAATCAAGTTCCTTTCATAGCTCAAGTGTCGGTTATACCATACAGTATGAACTATGAAAGCGCCAAGCATTTGTTGTACCAAGTGTTACATAACATAAATCAAGATTAGTCATTTAACAAGCAAAGTATTAAAGAGTGAATAAGATAACAAATACAAAACATGTTAGTATCAAACATTAAAGTCCATATTGAGTTTACACTATACTTATTCTTTCGCCATTAGTGTAACCTTTTCACCTTGATATAACAAACTTAGCTAGACATAATAAAATAAACAAAAATAAATAAACAAAATAAGAACATAAATAAGATAAGAGTTAACTAAGTAAAGAAAAGGAAATGAAAGCCATAAACTTGATATTAATGAAAGCAAAGCATAAACATTACAAAAAATACAAAGCCAAAAAGCAAGAGCATGATCTTGATCTGGACACCAAGATACCTAAATGCATGGCAAATGCCTCCTTTTATAGGCCAAAATTGGGAACTATTGATTTGATGACTAATTGATGAGTGGGTGGCCAACTCTTGACTTGGTGACAATCATTATCTTCTCTTATCTGCCCAAAACGTCATTGATAACGTCAAAATTAGAGTTACTTAAAAACATAAAAGTTGTAGGAAATTGTCTCAGCTTTCTTGTGTAAAAACTTCAGCTCATTTAGACTTCTAGAACTCTAGATATGGCTAAAATATTGAACAGTGCTCGGGTTGGAGGACAGATTCAGGCTTCTTTGTTGTTGCAACAATTTGGACTTGAAAATAGCCTTCTTAGATCTTGGGATCCATATGAAAGTTGTGGGCCTATGTCTTAGCTTTCCATCCATATAAAGTAGACCTAAATCTAAGATTTATAGCTCCAGATATGACCAAATTACCGAACAGTATTCCGGTTTGGATTGCACCGACATCTCTTTTCTAAGTTTGGCCATCTCTTTATCCTTTCAATTTCAGTTCTTAAATTCATCACTCAATCCTTTCATTTATGTGATAGGCCTGCATTTAAAATAAACATTTACCACAAATTAAAGGTATCTTATATTATTAGATATATTATTATAAAACATGCTTTAGTTAAGGAGTTATTGATACTTCAAGTGCAAAATGATGATATAAAACCATGATAAAAATACACTTTTAAGTACGAATCACACCCTCAACCAGTTTATTACTAGTCCCTAGTAATCAAAGCGTTAAAATATAAAAACAATTTGTAAATTCCACAAAGCAAGGTATTCATCATTTAACTTCCATTAATCTATCCAGATAAACAAACTCTCGTTAAATTTATATACCTGCTCAATACCTCTTAACAAGATATTCATAAACCTTTCTTTTATGCTCAATGTATCAACACATAATTATGGGGCTTTTCTTGGAAGAAAACAAAATTTTTGTTCTAATGTTTAAGGTTAACTTCCTTGAGTTGGGATTATTATTTTTGTCTTTTTTTTTCTTTTTTTTAAAAAATATATATACATATAATTTAAAAACATCATGCATCTTTAACCCATGTAATGAGCTTTCAGCTAATAACTCCTAGACCAGTTGGTCTTAGGGTATTAGGTGTTAAGACACCCCTACGAGCTTAGTAACTCGGGTCGCAGATATTGATATGTAGATAATGCAATGTTTGATTCCCTTAAGCTTTTCTCCTCAACCCATGTAACAAGCGTTGTACCAAGTGTTATACAATATAAATCAATATTAGTCATTTAACAAGCAAAGTATTAAAGAGTGAACAAGATAACAAATATAAAACATGTTAGTATCAAACATTAAAGTCCATATTAAGTTTATACTAATTCTTACACCATTAGTGTAACATTTTCACCTTGACATAATAAACTTAGCTAAACATAATAAAAAAAAGAAAAATAAATAAACAAAATAAGAACATAAATAAGATAAGAGTTAACTAAGTAAAGGAAAGGAAATGAAAGACATAAACTTGATATTAATGAAAGCAAAGCATAAACATTACAAAAAATACAAAGGGAGAAAGCAAGAGCATGATCTTGATCTGGACACCAAGATGCCTAAATGCATGGCAAATGTCTTCTTTTATAGGCCAAAATTGGGAACTATTGATTGGATTGCACTGGCATCTCTTTTCTAAGTTTGACCATCTCTTTATCCTTTCAATTTCAGTTCTTAAATTCATCAATCAATCCTTTCATTTATGTGATAGGCCTGCATTTAAAATGAACATTTACTACAAATTAAATGTATCTTATATTATTAGATATATTATTATAAAACATGTATTAGTTAAGGAGTTATTGATACTTCAAGTGCAAAATGATGATATAAAACCTTGATAAAAATGCACTTTTAAGTACTAATCACTTGGCGCACCTTTTTCACTTTGATCCTTGATTTTGGGTTTATGTAATTTGACCCTCAATTAACCATTAAACTTTCAATTTCACCTTGGATTTCAATTAATTAAGCTATTATAGTTCAAAGCCTTTTGTATATTGGTCCTTAGCTGCAAATTTCTTCAATTTAACCCGTAATTCTTCCCCCAAAACTTTAATTTTCTTGTGTTTTTGTTCCTAATTTCAATCAATTAACTTCGTAAAAAATAAATTTGATTTTTTTTTAATTTCAATCTTCTAAATTAATATGAAATTGAGCCCCCAAACTTAATGTTTCACCAATTTAGCCTCTAATAAAATTAATTTAACTCATCTAAAGTATAATTAAGTCTTGCACTTAATTAAATATTTTAATTGAACATAATTTAATTCTTAAACATAATTAAAATTTAATTTAGCCTATCATTAAATCGAATTGACATATTAAAAATTTAATTATGTTCTTAGACTTAATTTTTATGTAGATTCATCCTATAATCATTTAATTTGATCTTGAATTTACATTGTTTCTCAATTTTTAGCATAATAAAGTATAATTAGGCCTTGAATGCCCCTTAAAATTGTAGATTGATTTTTTCATATGTTTGAAATCCTCCAAAACCTGATTTCTCCATATTGCCAGTTTTTATTTTTATTTTGAAAAGAAAAATATGCAA